ATACAATTTAAATTAAGGCTTTAAGTGAAGTCAGGACATTTTTCACGTAGCCCCAAAAACAATGACTTAGATAAGGAGATAAATCCTATCTTCTTCCTGAAACTGGCTAATGGGCAACCTTTACAAACATTCAAACTATTTCATTCAATATGACACTTACAAGCCGGCATGCTCTGGTAACTGGTATGCTGGCTTGTAAGGAAAAGTGAAACCGGAAGTGCCTATCGTGGCACCAGTTTCTGCTGAGCCCCCACGGCCCGGGGGCATAACAGGCTGTGTGGGACTGTGCAGGGCCTGCCTCCCTGTCCCGCAGGGCCCGCAGGAGGGGCGGTGATGCCGCAGGAGGGGTGGAGGGACGCCCCAGATGCAGCAGGAGAAGCAGCAGCCGGGGCCCCTCAATTAAACGGCATATTTTGGTATCCGGCATCCCCCATTCTCAGGCGATGCTGGATAACAGAGCTTTTACTGTATATAACTCTGTAAAAAGTTTTGAAAAAAGAGTAGTGGAAACATTCTTAGATATTAAGATCAGTAGAGTTGGACAGTATAGCTTAAAAAAAAAAAATGGAAAAAAATGAGAAGCCACTAAAGATTGTGTTAAATATTTCTTAAAAGTAAGGTTATATAACATAAGTTTGGAGGAGAATAAATGGAATACCAATCATAAAAAGCTGCAGGCTTGTCAGAAACTGGTTAACCTTGGTATTTTCTTCAGTGCATAAGCAAATCATGATGGAATCTTACTGTAAGTACACATAAGGAAAGTAGTGTTGAGCAACAGATTACATGGAAGGCAGGATCAATCCTGATTAAACCGTCTCAGCGAAGTGTCTGTCTAGCCTGCTCTTGAAAATTTCTAAGGATGGAGATTCCACAATTTTTCTAGATAGAAAAATTCCATTCCAGTGCATAGTCAGAAAGTTCCTCCTAAGCTCCAACCTACATTTCGTCTGCTGCAGCTCCTGGTCTTGTCCACTACAGCCACTGAGAAAAGCCAATCTCTGTTCTCTCTATAATTACCCTTCAGGTATTTGAAGACTGTTATCAAATCTCCTCTTAGTCTTTGCTTCTCCAAACTAATTATCCCTAGTTCTTTCAGCCTTTCCTCTAAAGTCCTGCCTTAAAGGCCCCTAATCATTATTATTGCTCCCTGCTGGACTCTTTATAATCTCTTCACATTCTTCTCGAAGTGTGGGACCCAAAATGATACAGTAATCCATGTGCTGAATAGAGCAGAAAACTTGCTTCCTTTGATTTGCCAGTGACACTCCTATTACTACAACCCAGCACTAGGGCTGTGTGAAATTTCGACAGCTGTTTTGTTTTGGAGGTGTTTTGGTACCCAAAACACTGAAAACGGAAGGCTTCAAAACATTTTGGAAATGTTTCAGATAATTTTGGGGTTTTGGAGCTGGGCTTGCAGGGAAACAAAAACTAAGAGGGAAGGGAAAGTGGGTGGGAAGGACTGCTCTGATATTGACATCTAGCTCCCAGTTTGATTCCCCAGCTCTCTGATTGCTTCCCCCAGCTCTCTGATCATTTACCCAGCTGTTCCTGGGGGGTGTGGCCCCCCAATCTACATGTGGGGTTTCAGCAGGCTGCTGCTGCAGGCTTGGGCCAGCAGCAGCCACTCGGTGTGGGCCAGGAAGACTGCGGTGCTGCCGCTGACCCCAGCCTGCAGCGGCAGTCTGCTGAAACCCGACGCACAGATCTGGGGGCCCATGACCCCCGGGAAGAACTGGGGAAATGATCAGAGAGCTGGGAAATTGAACTGGGGGCTGGGGAATCCCTGCTGGATGACCTGGCTCCACAGGGAGCAGAGATCCATGCTGAGGTCTCCTCCCCACCACTGCCTGCCCCGTGCAGCCCCAGATCTCTGCTCCCTGTGGAGCCGGGTCACGCAACAGGGATCAGCACTGCCCTGCCGTGTGACCGGGCTCCACAGGGAGCAGAGATTCATGCTGAAGTCTCCTCATCACCGCTGCCAAACCTGTGCAGCCCCACATCTCCAGGGCAGCGTGGGGTGGGCAGCGGTGGTGAGGAGACCCCAGTGCTGATCTGTGCTTCCTGCAGAGCTGAGTTGTGCTCCTGGGGCCAGCAGGATTGCTCGCCGCTCTGTGCTGCTTCCCTGCCCCGCGACCCAGCGTGACAGGGATCAGAGATCTGTGCAGGAGTTTCATTGCCTGTAGGGAGGGCAGCGGCCCTCCCACTCCCCCATCTCTTCCTCCTTCCCCAGACAAGCCAACCACGGCCCCATCCTGCTCCCCGCTGGGGCCCTGCAGCCCCTGGCTCAAAGCCCTGCCCAGCTGGGTAGGGCTGTGCGAAGCTTCCCTTGCAGCCTGTTCAAAACAGGTTCAGAGGAAATTTGGCCAAAATGAAACAGGACAGTGATCTGAAACACTGAAATGAATTACTGTCCTCTGAAACGGCCAAATCTGAAACTGAATCGAAACACAGCTGTTTCGCACAGCCCTGCTCAGTATGCTGTTGGCTTTTTACAACAAAAGCACACTATTGGCTCATATTCTGTTTATGGCCCACTGTAACCCCAAAGTTCTTCTTTGCAGTACTGCAGCTTAGCTAGTCATTCTCTAGTCTGTATTTGTGCATGCAGTTATTTCTGTCCCCAGTGCAGGACTGTGCATTTATCCTTGTTTAATTTCATGTGGTTGGTTTTGGACTATGTCTCTAATCTATCCAGGTCATTCTGGATCCTAGCCCTGCCCTCTGCAGTGTCTATAAGTCCATCCAACCTGGTGTCATCTGCAGATTGGCTAAGTGTGCGCTCAGTTCCATCATCCAAATCATTAATGAAGATATTAAACAATACTGGCCGCAAGAGAAACCCCTAGGGAACCCCACTTGATAACCTGTCAATTAGACATTGAGCTATTCGATGAGTACAGTGATCTAACTTACTGTACTTTCATCTAGTCTGTATTTCTTCAGCTTGTGAATGAGAAGTTTATGGGAGACAGTGTCAAAAGCCTTACTAAAGTCAAGGTACATCACATTCACTGCACTCTCCCCCACATCTGTTACCATATCATAGAAGGAAATCAGGTTGGTCAGGCATGACTTGCTCTTGGTTAATTCATGCTGGCTGTTCCTGATCACCTTGTTCACCCACATGCTTCATAATAGATTCCTTGAGGACCTGCTTCATGATTTTTCCAAGTTTTGAGGTCAATCTGACTGGTCTGTAATTTCCTGTATCCTCCCTTTCTTAAATATAGACATTATATTTTCCCTTTTCCAATCATCCAGGATGTCATCTGACCTCCACAAATGCTCAAAGAGATAGTCAGTGGCTCAGAAATTACCTTGGCCATTTCCTTCAATATCCTAGGATGTATCCCATGTGGCCCTGCCAACTTGAAAGCATCTAGCTTCTCTAAGTAATCCCTAAGTTGTTCTGCCAATACTTACTCGTTTAGAAGCAACACAGTACCCAGGTTATTGACATATTGCTACTAACAAGTGTTGACTGTATGTCTACTTGTTTATTTGCATGCTTATGTATGTGTCTTCTTGAAGTGTTATTATGTATTGCTTGGTTCTCGGTCTGCAAGAACTAGAGTAGATTTTTAGAGAAAATACATTTAAAGGAATTACATTTATTGATAGAGAAACTTCCTTTAAGAAAAATACATTATTAAAAAAAATCTTGCAGTATTTATTTAAATGGATTTTTTTATTATAACTGCTAATTAAATTTAAACCATTAATTATTTAACTAATAATAACATGTAATAATATTTAACTAATTTTTCACTCTTCCTTGGATTTTAGTTATGATGATGGTATTCAACAATGGATCAATAGAGACAGCTGCCAAAGCAACAATGGATCATGTGCCTTCTTTTTCCCTGACATTCCATATGCTAGATATTGTTTTCAGGTGACAGCAAAAAATGCTTTGAGTAATTCTACAACGGAATGTGTTCCCATGGAAATGTTGGAAATAGGTACATTTTGGTATAATTCTTTAAATAAAGATGAAATACATAATGCTTAGAGCTAGAAAAAATGTTTTAGCTATTTTTTAAAGCAAAAATGAAGAGTTAGCAGCATTAAAAAGTCATAAATTAATTTTGGTTTTGCTAAATATTTTTTCTGGGAATAATTCTTGGGAAGTTAGAAGCATTTTGTTTCAGCATTTTTAAAACTAAGGACTTGCTTTGTATTTTCATTTGGAAAAGTTTTTTTCATTTAGAAATTTCTTTTGATTTTATTAAAAAATCAAAACATTTAGAATTTTTAATTATCAATTAAAGCGCTTCAACCTGAAAGTATTTTTTTCATGTTTTTCCCTATTTTTTGATTAACTGTCTGAAATAAATGCTTTTTCAGGAAGTGCCATCATCCCACAAAATTAGTTCATTTGCACTGCTTTTACTCAGAGTAAAGATTTCTAATTGAGTCCTTAAAGTGAGACAAATTTATGAATTATTTTCCAAAGCAGACCAGATATGTGCTGAAACTGTACTTCTGCATAGTATGATGGGGATCACATGCATTTCTTGTATGCCAGCCAACATGTATAGCTCTCTTTTACCTCAGTTTTCTTAGTAGACATTCACTTTAGGCCTGATTATTCTGCATGTGTGTGATGTTGTTTGTTTGTAATGGCATAGTACCTGGGAGCCCCAATCACAGACCAGCACCAAGGTTCTGCAAGGTGATATAAAAACAGGAACCTACAATTAACTGTTAACTGGGACTGTTAACTGGGGGTGTTAACTGGGACTACCTCACATTTTATGGAAACGTGGATGAATAGCAAGTGTTTGATATGTATCAAAAAGTTCAGTTATAAGTTAACACTAATTTTATAGTATTTAAGTATAAGGAGAACTTCTGGAAAATGTTAAGAATAGAAATGTGTTGTTGTTGTTGTTGTTTGATTGTATTTTTGTTCTTTTATACATAGGAATAGATAAAAAATAGGAGTGGACTGATAGAGATTTTGAGGACCGATACCGATATTTAAGGAGGCATATCAGCTGATACTGATCCAATATCTGATACAGTTGCCTCCAGGTGGTAAGTCTGGTGTGGTGGAAGGTGCGTGGGGGGCAGATCAACACCCCTGCGGTGAGGGAGGGAGGGGGCTGGGGCTGCCCAGTTGGGAGGGGCACAGGATGGAGGCACAGCTTGTGGGGTGGGGGCAGCTCCTGCCCCTGCTTGCACCCTGGGAGTGGGGGGGAGGGGAGTGTACTCCCGGATCTCTGTGTAGCCTCTTCTTGCCAGGGGCTGGGCTCAGAGTGGGCTTTGGCGGCGCTGGGAAGAGGCTGTAGCTGCCCTAGATTTTGCTGCAGCTCTGTTCCCAGCCCTGTGCCACCACCCCAGCTTTTTCTGGCACTCGGGTGGAGGTGGGGCATTCAGCCAGGGCTACCCAGGGCAGTGGCGCAGGGCTGGGAGTGGAGCTGTGCTGAAATTTGGGGTGGGTGCAGCCTCCTCCCAGTGCCACCAGAGCCCACTCCAAGCCCATCCCCTGATGAGAAGATCCACACAGCGCCTGCTATGGCTACACCCCACAGCTGCAACTCTCCCCATGCCGTGCAGATCCGAGGCACTCGCCCCACCCTCCTGGGGTGCTAACAGTGGCAGGAGCTGCCCCCACCCCATGAGTCGTGCCTTTGTCCTGCACCCTACCCCCCACTCTGGCTGGGCAGTGCCTGCCCCTGCTACCTCTCTTACCATGGGTGGTGTTGCCCCCTCTTGCCCCTTCCCTCCCCCTCCCCTTCTGACTTACCAGCTGGAGGCTGCTGTCAATGGTGCTGGCTCCGCTCCGTGCTGTGCTTTGCAGCTGCATGCAACATGGGCATTTATCGGCCAAATTATCAGCCCCATCAGGCCGATATCTGATATAGACAATGTTCTTCATATCGGTACCAATCCGATATCGGACCAATGTATCGGTGCGCCTCTAATAAAATATGAAGAATGAAAGTAATTACAATAAATGATAAAAATATTATGCCTTTCATTAGTCAATGGATATGGTCAGGATTGAGTTCACAGATTTGAGTTTTTGAAATAACATTTTTTAAGGGTTTTACATTTTGGAATTGTGAATATTGCTTGCAAAGCATATTGATGGTAGACTTATTTATTTTGAACAAAAGACTAATAAACTCTTCTAATCTCCCTTTGTAAAATAGGCATTTGCTTTCTTGATTAGACCTTTTCAATATCTCTTCCACTTTGAATTCATCTGTCTTGAATATGAGTGATCAGAACGGCATATGGTATTCCACACAAGGTCTTGTCAGTTAACTAAGGAACTGGAAAAAATCCATTAAGCCTATTCAGGGATTTATCTTTTTAAATGTTCACCTAATAACTTGCATTTCTACATAAGCACAATAAAACTTATTCATAACTATATCCACATCTCATTTGCTAATTATTTAACTTGCAAAAAATCAGAAAGGTCTTGGACTCTTGGACAGCCTATGAATTTAGGATACTCAAGTAGAACGTCTACTCCGCAGTCAACAGGAGTGCTTTTATTACAACTAATATACACACACACACACACACACACACACACACACACACTCACTATCTGCATTGTTGGGACAGGCTCATGGAACTTTTCCTCAGGTCTCTGGAAGAGAAGCAGACAACAGAGCTAAACAGCAGATGGAACAAAGGCTTGCGTAAAAGGAAATATGTAAATAAAAGCAGGAAATATGATTAGTTATCAGACAATGGACAGGGGAGGTGCAGTAGACATCTGATAAGTGGAGGAGCAAGACCATTCAGGATTGTTATTATCACCTGTGAAATACAGAGATTAGCAAATATCATGTAGATTGTAATGGGTTGTGAAGTCATTGTCTATATTAAGTCCCTGGTTCTTAGGGCCTGATAGGCTAATGGATTTTTGTTCCTAGGCTCGTTTTTTGATGGTGTTTTACAAATTTACCTTGAGCATGAGAACTTTGAGGTCAGGGAGGGTGTGGTTTTTCTGTGAAAATTTTCTTCTACCTGTGTTCTAGTGTTTCTGTCCTTTATTTTTTTTCAGTGATCATTGATTCTAGTATGTAATTGTTGTCTGGTTTCACTGACCTGGTTTCTATAAAAGTATTTGTTACCCAGGCTGAACTTTAGCACATTCTGGAATAGACATGTATATAATCTATGGATTCTAGTGATTTTACTGTGGGGATGGTTGATTATTGTGGCAGTAGAGATGAGTTGACAGGTTTTGCGTTTATTGTTAAGGCAGGGCTGGGTCCCAATAGGTGCCTGTTGATCAGTGGGGAGTTTGCTTCTGATGATGAGTTGGGCAAAGTTACAGGGCTGTAAGGATTGGAATATTACTCTCAAGGCCTGGTCTTTTTCAAGAATAGGCTATAATTGTTTGGATCCTTCTTATTGGTTCATGGTAGGTGACAACCAAAGGTGTGCAGTCAGTAGGGGTTTTTATTCTTGTATTCTAGAAGGTTGTTGTGAGGTATTTGGGTGGCTCTTTCCAGTAGAAAAGTAGACTGTATCTTTGAGTGTCCTTATTGGGTAAAGACAGTTTTCAGTTTGGTGAGATGCATATCACAAGTATTCTCCTCAGTGAAGATGTGGTAGTATCTGAGGGCCTAACTGTAGATCATTGCTTTTTGGTGTGTTTGGAATGATTGCTGGTTTTATGGTCATAAGTGTGGTGGTCAGTGGGTTTTTTTTGTATATAGTGGTTCATAGGGTGCCATTAAAGATTCTGTATTTAGGAAGTTGATGTTAGTGTAGGAGTATTCTAGAGAAAATTTGATCAAAAGATGGCTGCTGTTAGACACACGGTAGAAGTCAATAAGCAAGTCCATGTGTTCACTCCAGATTATGAGAATGTCATATGTAACATGGTGATAGTACAGGGATGGCGGTGCAGTTTTCTAGAAACTCCTCTTCCAGGTTGTTTTTGAAGAGGTTGGCTCCCCAATATGCCATCCTTGTGCCCACAGCTCTGTCCATGGTTTGGAAGAAATGTTGGTTGTTGAAAGTGAAGTTGTTGTGGGTGAGGATTAAATGGACGATTTCTGCAATAAATTGTATTTGTAAATCTGAGTGTAATCCATTTTCTTGTAGGAATTTCAAGCAAGCAGTTGTCTCTTCATGTTGTGGGATGTTAGTATACACATTGGTGTATATATGGCCTACTCATGGAGGTGGTTGATGTTCTAGAATCTAGATCGTATTGAAGAAGCCTGTTGTGTCTTGTAGAAAACTCATTCTCTGAGTTACAAATTATTTCAGGATGGTTTCTATTAATCTTGATAGCTCTTCAGTGGGAGTACCACACTTGGATATGATGGCTCTGTCAGGGTTACTTTTCCTGTGAATCTTTGGGAGCATATAAAATATTCTTGGGATAAAATGGGGGATTAGTGGTGGTAGCTTTTCCTGAAGTTGGTATGGAAAAGATTTGATTATATTTTCCAGTTCCAAAGCAAACAGTGGTGTGGGGTCCTCCCCAAATTTTTTATAGTAGTTAGTGTCTGAGAGTTGTCCCATTATTGATATAATCTTGGTAGTTGAGGATGACAGTTGCTCCTCCTTTGTCTACTTGTATGATTACTGTTTCATTGTTGGATCTTGGGGATCATATGGATTTTCTCTTTGGTTGGTTGTCCTGGGTTTTGTTGAGTATTTCGTTAACTTTCCTTCTGAAAAAGTCGATGTAGTTCAATGTGTGGTTTTGTCTAGTGGGAGGTGTCTGGTCAGATTTTTGTTGTTGTTTATATCATCTGTTGTGGTAGGAAGGTTTTTAGAGATAGTTCTGTACTGGATGTAGAAGTATTCTTTCAGGTGAAGTCTATGGACAGATTCTTCTAATTCTTCACATATTAGGTTGCTTTTCTGGGCAGAAGTTCAGGCCTTCAGGGTTAAATCGGTGAAGGATTAAATTGCAGCCCTCAGGCTTCCACTCTGCCACCACTCCTCACATTGCTCCTCTTCTCTCTGGCTTCCCCTGCCCCAGGGGTCGGGGCAGTGCAGCATGGCACAGCCTGCAGTTTGGGGGGAGCCTGCAGCCAAGAGTGCCTGTATGGCACAGTGCAGCTAGGAGGCACAGAGACCAGCAGTGAGAATTTTTATTTAAATCACATGATTCAAGTGCCACTTAATAAAATTTCCAAGTCTGGCAGTAAATGAACACATGCCATCTTTTCTCAAAATCTTTACATCCTTGATTTTGCTATGCAAAATGCCTGAACGCCACAGTAGGCATTGTCTTATTTTTCATATCTTCTCCTCACTCTGTCTTGCTGGATGCCATTTTCCCCTCTACTATGTTTGTTATTTTTAACTAGATATTGTTACCTTGTTGTTGTTATCTAAATAACTATATATTTGTTACCTTTAACTAGCTCTTTAACTCAATAGGACAGGGAGCATGTCTTTTTGTAAATATAAAGTATCGCTTGCAGTTGCAACTGAAATTCTGTTTTGCTGATACCCAGCCTCACCTGCATGGTGCAGATACATCCCAGTTGCAGCACCATCCACCACACCCTGAGCCCACTCCATTCACCCATTACTATTACAGGTTCCTATTCCTCTCCCAGTTCTCCATTCTCATTACCACTCGATTACCTAATGCTTAAATATTCTGTCAGTTCTTTCTCTCAAACACCTACCATTCCATGAATCTGGCTAAGATTTTCTTTAGGCCTGTACTTAGGACTTGACTCATCTTTCTTCAAGTTGTAACTATTCTTTTTACTGGCCTTGTCTCTGAGAAAAGAATATGGTGGCCACATTACAAATAGAAAAAGCAAATGAATATTTTTCAATGCATTTACAGATGAAAGATGCTTGTATATCTGTTTGAGTGTTAGCTTGTCTACTGTAAGTTAGCTAGGTATAATCAATTTTCTCTCCTTTTGTAAAATACATCCATACCCATATATATATATAAATTTTCATATGGGCACTGTGTATCTGTGTAATATATATGCTTCCATGAATTTGTATGTTAGATCTAACAATATTGGAATGATTGGGTAACTCTTCCTAGATCGGGGCGGGCAATTATTTCGGGCGGAGGGCCACTTATTGAGCTTTGGCAAGCCATGGAGGGCCGCATGATAGGCAGCCAGGGGCAGATAAATGTTAATTTTCTAAATTTTTTAGGGGCCCCATGGGCTGGATAGAATGGCCTGGCAGGCCGCATCCGGCCCCCGGGCTGCATTTTGCCCACCCCTGTCCTAGATGCTAAATAATCTATTATAAACTTGTATTTAATGCAAAGTTGCAGAACTTCTTTTCCTGTTTGAAAAACATGAAAGCTTTATTTCTTAATTTCAGAGAAACTTGAGGCTCCTGACATAATTTCAGTTGAAAAAATTGCTGGTATAAAGCAGTTGCTAAACATAACTTGGAAAAACCCTATGGTAGCTCCTGAACGACATTTATGTTGCCTTATTCAATACAGAAAAATGCATTCAAACGATTCGGTAAGTTACATTGTTACATTGTCCTAATATCAGATGATTTATTCCCGGCTTACATTTTGACTTTTTTTAAATGCTAATGATAAAAGGCAGGATGCAAATATACCTGGATGGAAAGCTTTATTTTACTGAAATGAATAACAGAAGATAGAGATGAATGAAGACCTACTCTTACACTACAATGGACAGGAGAGATGCAGTAGAAATCTGATAAGTGGAGGAGCAAGTCCATTCAGGAGGGTTATCATCACCTCTGAAGTACAGAGATTAGCAAATATCCTGTAGATTGTAATGGGCTGTGAAGTCATTGTCTACGTTAAGAGTGACCCTACTCTTCTTATTTGTTTAGTCCAGGTCTGTTTTATTGACCAGCATCTTCCTTGTTGTTCTAGAAGGATTTCAGTGGGGTTCTCCCAGCCAGATCAGGAGTCAAATCCATTAGTTTTTTGCTTTTTTTTTCTTGTTGCTTTTTAGCTATGAACTGCTTTTGTATTTCGGAGCAAGAACTATGTTCAGTCCAGATTCGGTTATAACAAAAGAGTATTAATTTTGAGATATTTTGAAGTATTAATTTTGAGATGAAGACAAGAAATAGGTTAGCTAGTTTAATACCACATGTCCTAAAGTAAAGAAAATCTGTGTCAGAAAGTCAATAACATTTAAATATTTAGAATTATTAACTATGTATTATCCAAGTGGAGATAATGATCAGTTCTTCATCTCCATTCAGATGACCTGTCTTATTCCTACTTGATGTGGAAACAACCTCAGTGCAAACCAGGGCTTCTCCTTCCAAAACTGAGAATTACAAAGTGAGCTCTCTGGGTACATCCACACATGCAAGCATGTATGCTCGCAGCAGCTCAAATCGGAAAAGCACAAATTTGAGCTGGGGATTTTTGCCTCAGTGCACGTGCCTGGACATGCACTTTGATGTGGGGTGAGTTGTGCCACTTGGGGCAAAATAATCCTGCCCAGTTCCTCCTGGATCTGCAGCCCCAGTAGTATAAAAAGCTGCCCTGGGAAGCAGCTCAGGCCTACGTGCTCTCAGGAGCTTCAGGGGTCCCTTGTCCATGCACATTTCCAAGCAGAGCATGAGTGGGCCGTGTCCACTGGCTCCTTGGATGCCTTTGAGAACCAGTGGGTGAAACCTGGGGGGCTCTGCTCGGTGTCCCACTCCAGCGAACTTCTTTTCACATTTTGAACCTATAACCCCCATGTCATTCCTAGCCTTTTCTTCCTTAGTTGTCCCACAAAAAAAAGAAAAAAATTAGTTGCATCTTTCGAACTTTGGCCCCACATGATAGTGGGGGCTATTAGGTAACTAGGTGGGCCTTAAGGCCCATGATCTTTGGAAGATACAAATAGACAGGAACTTCTGAGGCCTGGCCAATTGGTATCTGGGGACACTTACTAGCCCCTTGTACCAGCTGGGCTGCTGAAGCAACCCTAACCTAGAGTGGCCCCTGTACCCTGTACCCATTGCAACAGTCTGGCAGTGGGGGCTGCTGCCTGGCTATGACCTGCTGCCACCTGTGACAGCATGTGGCCCCAAGCCTGCATGCCTGCCAGACCCAGATGGGGACTTCATGGCCACAGCAGAGGCTTATGCACCTCTGGGCCAGCTGCCAGTAGGCTGTGGCTGCATAGTTGGCTTTTGCGCAGCACTACTGCCATGTGTAGTGCTGCCCTGCCATCTGGGCAGCTATTGCCCAGAAGATGTCCTTAGTGTGGTGGTCTGCTTTGAACTGTCAAAGCATGTCATCCTGGCCCCAAGTGCCAGGAGGTCAGCCACCTCCAGCTGGGTCCTGATTTGCAGCCCAAAGCAGGCTTCTCTGCCTGGGTCCTGCCACTTGCCTCACTAGCAGGAATTCTTGTGTTCCCTATTTAAAAACTGCAAATTCTCTGATAAAAAAGCCCAATTTCACTCTTCACAAATAGCCTACCAGTGTCTCTATCATCGTAATAAAATAAATTTTAAATATCTATATGTTTTGATGTTTGATTTTGTTTTTCTTATTGCAGAACAATTAGTGCTCCCCCTGACTCCCTCACTAAATGGGATGTGGGGACAGCTGCGCCTGCAGCCACAGCTCCTGCCAGCAGGTCTCATCCTGTCTGGCAGCTGGGCATGCTGGATGTGTGATGGGGGGGATGTAGGGTTTGCAGGAGCAGGGCAGGAAGGGGTGTAGGGGATGCAGGTGGGTGTGAGGGGATGTGGTTGGGTGTGGGGAATGTGGGGGGTTGGGGGTGTGGGTAGATGGGAAGGGATTGTGGGAGGGCTGTGTGGGGGGGCTGCTAAGGAGGGGTGGGTCCCCTGACCCCCACAGGGCACAGCTCCCCCACACAGTACATGGACTGACCCCCTGCAGGGCTCCAGCCCCCATCAGGGCCCCAACCCCCCTCCCCTCCATAGGGCCCACAGCTCACCCCCACAGCAGCAGCAGCCATGGGCGCTGCAGGCCCACTGCTGTCAGAGCTCCCCTGCCTCAGAGCCTGTGCCACTTGTTGTGGGTGTGGCCTGGCATGGCGCAGTGTGGTATGGGGCCGTGCACATTTCTGCAGCCCCAGGTTGCTTGGGCTGTCACCTGGGGGCCAGTGCCACTCGTGGGGACCGTGTGTCATGCTGGGCTGGGTCCTGCCTCCACGGGCCCTACATGCCGTTGGGCCAAGCCAGTTCCGTGGAGGCAGGACCCAGTGCGGCATGACATGTGGTTCGGCCCGAGAGGCCTGGGACTGCAGAAAGGTGCACAGCCCCATGCCGAGCCACGCTGCACCTGCGGCAGGCGGCACAGGCGGCGCTGGCTCTAAGGCAATCGGGGCCATGCTGTGACATGCTGCAGGGGGTCTGGCAGCAGTGGGCCCTGAGTGTCCCACGGCTGCTGCTGCTGTGGGGAGAGGGGGCTGTGGGCCCCGTGGGGGACCCATGCCCCCCAACCAGCCCCACCCCCAATGGTCCCCTCACACAAGCACAGGCCCCTCCACCCACATCCCCCCACAGTCCCTACTTATACCCGACCACTGGTGTCATGCCGGATCCTTGCTGTGCTGCTGCTTGCCCCAGCATGCTAAGGGTGTGTGCCCCGCATGCTGGGGCAGCAGAAGCACATAGAAACCAGAGCATTTCTCCAGAGGACTGGCTTCTGGGTTATGTCAGGGCATAGGACCATGCCCTGCCTTGCTTTCTTTACCCGTAGTTTTTTTTTTTTTTGATACCTGGATATCCAGGTATCAAATTTTGAACCCATGCTGCAAATATGCAGTGTGGAGAATATTTTTTTGTTCACAGTGTGTCTCTTGCAGCATCTCAAACTGGTTTGGGATGCAGCAAGAGGCACATGCACGTTCCTCTGGATGCGCCCTCTGAGGCCTGTTTTTAGCAGATAGTCTCCTATTAATATGCAGTGCCTAGCAAATGTACATCCACTATTTTTCAGTGTTTGAGCCCTCAAGCATAAAGTTGAAAAGCAGAAGAATTAAGAGGATAATGAGGTGTTTAAAAAGTTCTTGTCTCTGTTTCATTATTTTTAGTTATTCCCTTTCTTTGTATATAAGGAATAAGTCCAAAGCATTAGACTATGTCACATTTGTCGTAGAAGTACATGCTAGACCTATTTGCCACCTGTGTGAATAAGAAGCTATCAGTCTCATGCTTATGCCACAAAATAATGTTATCTCCATTTATTGGAAAAGGAAATTCCTATATACTGTAAGTCTCTCCATGAATCCTTCTGGAAGTGAAATTGTTGGCAATGCTTAGAAAAGACAAAAGTTCAATGATTTAGAACCATATTAGCTTAGGCAAATATGGTTCTCAACTTTCTTTTATGGTTCTCATCCAGTTCATATAGTGTAGGAGTACAGCTTTAGACTTACTTGGAAATGCATGCAGTTTTGTTTTGGAGCTCCTCAGGTTGTAGGTGTGAGACTCTTCTATACAAATGACCTCTTAAGAGAAGTGAAAATGACAGACCTTGTCATTCTTCTTGGAAGGTCCTGCATTACATATTTCTCATACACCTGTCATCCATGAGAACTCAGAGGCTAACTTTTTAAAAGGATTGTTTCTTAGGACTTTTTCAGTTTTTTTTCCATTGACACTTCTAGTTTGTTCATAAATTTATCATTTTTTGGATTGTTTTAATTTCTTGGAGCTTTAGCTCCCATGCAGTTGGAGTTGACTAAAATATTTGTAGGTCTGCAGAGATACTTGAGGAGGATGGCATGGCAATGTCCAATGGAAAGCCTCACTCTTGCTCTTCTTCACTGTTGCTACTTTTACATTAAAAAAGGAGCTAATACCAGCCTCGTGGGGAAATTACTAAAAGCTAGATACTAAAATGCTACACAGAAGTAGAATTGCAAGGTAAATAATTTTCTTTTTTCTTTAGTAGAGGATTAAGGTGGGAATATGAGAGAGCCACATGCGCCCACTTTTAGATACAGGTTTTGGGTAGTGACTGTTCTGTTTTTTAGATAAATATATACTGTGTTTTGGGGTTTCTTTTTAAATCAAAGTATTTTTGTCCCTATGTTTACTTTTAGGGAAATGTTACTGACTGCACAAACCGTACTGAGACCATAAAATCATATAATCTAATGGGCCTACAGGATTTTACTGAGTATGCTATTGCCATTCAATGTAAAGGTGCATTAGCAAAATTCTGGAGTGAATGGAGTGAAGAGAGAATAGGAAGAACAGAAGAAAAAGGCAGGCGAATCATTTATATCATATTTTTTTTCCCAGGATTTAATTGGGGATATTTTTGGAGCAGATTTAACAACAGCAACCTATTTCTATTTTCAGCATATTTGTCAATCTGTTGACTCAGGATTTTGAACTTATGAGAACAAATATAGTCAGTTAAACTTGGCAGGAAGAGCGAAGACTGAAATAGGTAGGGGGACCTGGCTGCGAGGAAAATGAATGGAGGAGAAAATAATGGGCTATTTAAAAGAAATAAAACAGAAATTAGAGAGGGATGACCAGAGAGACTGGAGAAGTGAGAGAAGTGGAGGGAAAAACTGAATGAGGTTAGACAGGAGTCAATAAAGAAAATAGCTTTACTCCAAATTATTGTGGAAGTAGGAGTACAGTGTATCAAGCTGGTATAGTAACATGAAATAAAATTAGAAATTTGGGAAATTAAATAAATCAGGCCAAAAAAAAAAAGGAAAAAGCCCCTTATAATTCCTGACAGTAAATTCAAGCAGTAAAACAGTTTGTGGAAAAGGAGACAAAGAAATTTAGAGAAAGTCATGAAGACACCTAAAATTGAGTGATCAAGAATAAATGGCTAGAATACAGGGAAACTCTAAAAGTGATTTTACATGTTTAGGAATATTAAAAAGATATAGTTATATTTTAAATCATGTTGGAAACATTTATCAACCCCCTCTTCTTACACCATAAAATACCTAATTTAATTAGGATATTAGAGATGATGCAGGCTCTGTATTTTTTTTTCTTGAGTTTTCTTCATAAGTATATGGAAGTCTAGAATAAACAAGATATGGCAAGTTGCTATAATTGTATTTAGTGTTATGTACATATCTAGTAGTTTTATGTTGGAAAATAATAAACAATTATAATAAATAATAACTCTGCCTTCAGGTTCTCATAATCTAAGTAAAACTGATACTGTAAAACAGGAACTGAGAAATAGGCCAAAAGGAGGGAGCAAATGGTTCTTGAGTGAAAAATTATTGCTGGAAAACTAAACAAACAAAATAAAATTTGAAGCCAGAGTAGAATAGGAGAGTTGCTTGGTGCATAGGAAGAGAAACGGTAGTTTCAGCTGCAAGGGAAGATGAAAAAAGGCTTAGCATTAGAAATAAAAGGGTTTATAAGGGAAGTCTTTACATTTAGAATAGTTGCTTTCAGACTTTATTTTGAAAGCATTTCAAAATATTTTTTCAACCTTACCATTTTAAAGAATAACAGTAAGTTTTATGCTTCTTATTGTTCATTGTATTAGCTCCTTCAAGAAAAGTAGATTTGTGGAGAGTAATTGAATCTTCCCAGTCATCTGGAAATAGATATGTGCATCTTATGTGGAAGGTATGTACTTCATCTGTGACTTTAAAATCATGGCTGTCTTCCTTTTATGCTCTTTGTTGTAGAACACCTAGAGTTAAAAACAGTTTGCAGGGCTGTGGAATAGGAGTTACATTACTAGGAACTGCTAACAGACAGCAGAATTGCAGAAGAAAAGATAACTTGATTAATGGAACATCAAGACTAAAAAGTTAAAAACTAGAGAGTCGTTTAACACCTGTGGAATAAAGAATTTAGAAAGAATCAGGTAGATTATAACGAGCCACGAAGTCAGTTGACTACCTCAGTACTGCCCGCAGCAAACTAGAAATGTGGTTGGTTGCTGAGGGCACAGGCATAGTGGTGACTTCTGGTTACTACCACGATCACAATTGTGATTGTGTGGCTGCCTGCAGCTGCAGCTCCTCCAATTCCCTTTTCCCCAAGTTGGCACGCGAGGCAGTTGCTCATTCGCTCCCCCTCCTCCCAGTTAGCTGCCTGGATAGAAGTGCTGTTGCCACTGCTAGGCAATTGGTTTTAAACTTTGGCAGGGGCAGGAATCAAAGGGGTGTGCAACTGTACCACTGCACCCTACTGGATCCACCTGTGAATCCGTTTTCTTCACTGGAAAAGCAGCGTGCTTGGAGACACTGCATGTTATCCAGCTGCCAGGATGGTTGCTGCTTGTGTCTGGTTCAGCCAGCTGAAGGGGTAGAGTCTTGTGTTAACCCTCTCATAGCTGTAGCTATTGGCTAAGCACTGTAGCTTGTACCAGAAGCAGCAAGTGAGCTTCTGGTAGTATCTTGATGAGGCCTGTGATGTGTAAACAACACTTTATTTACAGGAACTTATATAAAGAACTATTTGTAGTAAAGAACTAACAGTCTTGCTACTGCCTTTGCAAGGGCCTGGGGCCTAACCTCATGTCATACCAAGTACGTCCTCCTGGAGACACAAAATGTCCAAGAAATGTGGCATCCCAAGAGACAGTCTGGAATAGGCAGCAGAAACTTCCTGGTATGGCATCCCAGACTGTCTCCTAGGATGCCAAACTCCCCAGACACGCTGGGTGCATCCAGACAAGCATGGCCATGCAGTATGCGGTGCCACAAACGTGTCTGCACTACCACATACTGCACAGTTAGGTGTTCTCCGTGCTGCAAGGGTGTGCTGCCCTGGATATCCAGGGGTCAAAAAAACCCACAGAAAAAAAAAAAGGAGCAGTGCATGGGAGGGCAGCAAACACCACTGAAAAGCAGAGCTGGGATGCCCAGAGTCACACTGCAGCTGTCTTGCTGGGTGGAGCCTGGCTGACAGCTGCTGCTGCTGGGGTCAGCACAGTGCAGGCCCCAGCCTCCCCTACCACTCCTGGGGTAACTTGCCACGTTCCAAAGCGTGGATGGCATGGGCATTCCCTGGTGACAAGTAACTGGGGCGCAAGGTGCACCACAGCTACTTGTCTCCGGGGAACTAAATGTCTGTGCTTATCTGGACACAGCCCCTGTGTTCCCAGGCAGACTTACTCTGTGTCACAGAGTTATCCATGACTCTGGAAAAATCTTATGTCATGCATTCTACTTTCTATAAACAAAATGCATGCTTTTTTGGAGGTATGTTGTATGTGAGAAAATGTGGTAGGGTTTGTTTGTTTGTTTGTTTGAAACCTTCTCCATTAAAATTGTCATGGTATGACTGTCCTGGACAGGAGCTGACAGGTAACAGTTTGCTTTCATAACATTCAGTGCTAGACTTCCATTTTAATTTGACCTACTGCATGGTTGGGATAGACTTCATCAGGTGACCTGAAGAAGAATGCACTGCATTTGAAAGCTTTTCTAAGATCTCATGCAGACATACAGTTTCTCCTGGGAGAGTTGTTGCTGTCCCCAGGAGAAACCATAAAAGTACAGGTGTTCAGACTTTTTCTCCCAGGTAAAAATGGCCACTCCAAGAGAAGAATAATCTGGGAACAACCAGGGCTAAATCGCTTCCAAACAGGTGGAAGGAGAAGAAAAAAATTGGGGGTCTGAACATGCGCATGTGTGCATGCCCTTCCCACCCCACCCCCTGTGGCAAAGTCTGTGGGGGGAAGGGAAAGGGCCACAGGGAGAGCAGCATTGCCTGGCACCGCACCGTGCGGGCCTCAACTGCCTCCTGGCCCCAGCTGCACTGGCCCTGGCTGCCTCCCTGCCCCGGCCCCATCCGTGCACCACCCAGGGGTGCCCAGAGCCAGGGGCTGGAGTGGGGCCAGCCTCGGCTGCACTGCTGGGCTGGAGGGGACAGAGGCTCTGGGACCCCTGTGCTCGTCCCACCAGGTCGTAATAGCCAAGGCAGGGTGCAGCAGGGCGCAGGACAGAGCTGTGTCTCATCCGGGGATGCAGGAAGGGGCAGCGGCTCCCGCAGCTGCATGCGTCCTGGGAGGCAGTGGGGGCTCATGACCCTGATTTGCACAGGGCAGGGCAGGCTGCTGCTGCAGGCTGGGGCTGGGGCAGTGCTGGGCTCTTCCTGGCAGAGGGGGGCGTGCTGTGCTCTAGACAGGCAGCGGCAGTGCTGGAAGCAGGGTCAGGTGGGCTATGGTGAATCTTGCAGTGGCTGGGGGCAGCCCACCCAGCCCCTCCGAGTGACACCGCCACCCACCCTAAGCATAGTCCTGCCTGCCCCTGCCCCTGCCCCTGCTGGAAAGATCCCGGCCCCAGGCCACAGCAGCAGCCCACCCTGCCCCGCACAGATCTGGGGGCATGCAGCCCCCATGCCTCCCGGGTTGCATTTAGCAGCAGGAGCCGCAGCCCCCAAATGAGCCACTCAGGGCTCAGTCCTGCCTCGAGCACCTGCCCCTCCTCCAGCCCTAGCCCCACTCCCTCCCTCACCACTGCCTGTGCGCCCCTCCCCATCCCTGCTGCAGCTGTAGGAAGCCTGCAGCCAGGCTGCCTTTTGGCCCTACCACTGCCTCGCATTTGTGGGGGCTAAGCTCCGCTAGCACCGCCTATGCTCCCAGGAGAGTTTCTCATGGGAGAGTGAGTGTATATGCTGTAAGTCTATCCCAACCATACAGTTGGTCCAATAAAAGATATAACACACAAAAATCCTTGCCATTTCCTGGACAGTTACATCCATTACAGTTGCATCATCACTCCAATGCTACTGAAATATGGAGGATATTTTAATTTGACTTGGTCATTTACTTGAAAAAAATCATTTTATTAGCCAGGTATTTTGATGAATTGACTACCTTATTTCAAAACCATGGTTCTGTGAAGAAATTACTTGATATTATCAGCTGTTGTTATTTGAGCAGCTCTAATTATAACAGGTATTTTAAGATTTACCATTTACTTGAACCCAATAAAATCTGCTCTTGAAATATAACATAACATCACATTACAAACTATCCAGAAAATAATTCAACATACCTGCTGACAGTAGTACCTCAAGTTGTTCTAGAGGTATTATTTAGGTAGTAGCTGTGAGCTGGAAGGGCATTCCATGTGTTGCCATGCAAATGAGAACACCGTTTACATTTCTCAGGAACCTACATTTTTCAGGAGTGCTATCACTAGGTTGAGAGATGATGAGGCAAACGGTGTGCATCTATACATGCAATTAATGTGAAGCAATAAATTCCAGCACATATTGCACTGGAGTTTGTTGTTCCTGGGCACTGTGTTACACATGCACTGGGACCACATCATGTTGTCCTATTGAAGAACATCCCCAGCTGACACAGGGTCTGGCGGGTCAGCCTGTCAGCCAAGGGCACTCCAACCTGGCTCAACAAGCTGCAGAGGGACTGGCTGGGACATGAGATTGTTTCAGTATAGGGCTAACCAGCAGGCAGCCCTTGCACTGAAGCATCCTCATGCCCCAGCCATCCCCGTCAGCATTTACACATGCTTTGCTGCACAGTAAATAACACCGCTGCAGGATAGTATTTATATTTACAAGTATGAACCCATGCCAGCACTTACTAATTTACTGCCACCTAATAGGGACATGCATGTGGATGTGGAGACCTTACTGTGGAGCTAATTAAAAAACTCCACAGCAAATGTCTTGTGTAGACATGTCCACTGTAGAGCAGATTAATGAGAATGTGTACATCAAAATGATCCAGTAGTAGGAAACAAAAATGTTGGGAGGCTTGGAAGAATTTATGCTTTATATCTTTAAGTATGCTTTTGATAATAGAGAGAGTACTACAAAACACATGCTTCTATATATTATTTTTTTAAACAGTTATTGGAAGAATTTCCATCTTCTGAGAGTATTCATGGCTACAAAATATGGTATATTCCAGAAAACAATGCAAGCCCCGCTGGGCCTACACACAATACTACTGATAAAAAGTTTACGCTTCTTTTACCCGGGGAAGCATATGTGTTATCTGTTATTGCCTATAACTCGGCTGGAGAATCTCCTGAGGCTACTTTGAGAATTCCCACCATTGGTGAAATAAGTAAGTATTATAAAATGATGTGGATCATTGTGAACCAATACCTTTTCTGTCTAAATAGGACAGTTCATTTTGTCTAAGTAACTTTGCATTCAAAGTGAAATTGTGGTAGGGTTTTTTGTTTGCAAGTTAAATATGGAAAAGACCTCCCAGATTATCTTGTTCAACATTCTGTGTAGGGATTATCAGTTCATTTTAGCACAAATAAAGTACATTGGTGTGAAAGAGCATATATTAAAGCACTGGTAGGCCATTGTACTTTTGCTTATTTGTCCTGATGGAAATAATATTTCCTCTTTTAAAGGCTTTTAGGGCATTTTTAAACATGCTCCAGGGCTGGGGATGGGACACTTTTATTAGAGTGGCTCTGAGAGCTACTCTAATTAAAGTGCCCTGAGCGTCTTGTGTATCTGTGTCCCCGTGCTTCAAAATGGTGGTGGGGGCACTTTATCTAAAGCTTGTCAAACAAGTTTTAGTTAAAATGCCCCTGCCACCATTTTGAAGTGCAGGGATGCTGATACACAAGACATAGAGGCTGGCTGGAGTGTAGTAATTACCATGCTCCAGCAGACTTGATTAATCAAGTTTGCTCTGATGCACTGTAATTACAGCACCTCCCCTCTCATGTACAGGCACCCTTGTAGCATGCTCTTATCACAAATGATAGATATTCCTGATCTTTTCTGCATTGTTCTCCAGACTTATAATTTTGCCCTGGGGTTCATAATGCTGGAGTCCTACTCAACTCTTACGTCTCCTTTAAGTTGGGTGTTGCTACAGACTGTTTGCCAAATAACACATCCACAGTGGTCAGGCCTGGCATTTTCCTGACATTCTTATTATTGGATTGTTAATGCATTTATTTGTTGTGCCAGGATAAATGCAACTTCCTTCCCCTCTGCCTCCCAAAATGACTCATATTCAAATCCTAATGTCTTCACAAAACTGCAGGATATTTTATTACTTATATGTGTGGACGTGCTCACATTATTTCTATCTTCAAAGATCTTGAATATCTCCTTTTCCACTGCTGTATCTACTGTACCACTGTCCTTTTTTGTAATTGTGCTCCCACCTCTAGTGAAGCTGCAGTGCTGGTCAATATTCCATCTCTGGTTCCCTTTGCTTCGCTCTTTCTGGCTGGCTTCCTCTGAGTTCCACGCTACTGGTTTTCCTCTCACATTGATTGTTTTGTACCTCTCCCCTTGCCATCCTCATCATTGATCCCCTCTTTCTTTTAAAAATATGAGCCACAATGTACTCTTCTGTGTTTTCCTGTAGCCAATACATGCATATAAGTCTTCAAATGGAGATATACTAATTCTTCATGACTTTCTTTATTTGTTCTCTTTTTGTTTTTTTCTCATCTTATGATAGCTATAATATTGACCTAAGATTGTTTAGCTTAATTGTAGATTAAAATCATAATCTGTTGAATTGCTACAGTACTGTGGATTTCGATGGATAATGATTTCTATTAATTTTACTTGCTGCTATTATTTTGTAGCTTCCACGCATATAGATTCGGTGTGGACCTTTACCTTAAGAAAAAAAATGATTGTGACATGGGAAGCATCGTCAGTAAATGAATATGTTATTGAATGGTACAAGGAGTGGGATACTGAGCCCTTTAATAGATCATGGCAATATGTATCAAATACTACAAACTGGACATCTCAAGAGGGTATGTTTAATCTACTAATAGCTCTTAGAGCCGTGAAAATTCTCTTTTTTTTTTTCTTCTTACCCTATCTTTAGAACCTATTCTATTTCTTAAGGAGAAAATATGTTTGGTCTCAACCCATTAAGGGATTTGTCTGTCTGCATATTGTATTGTGAGTGAGTAAGTGCCACTTATATTTGAGCAAAGCAAGCTCCCTACTGTTCCGCTTGCTCTGCACTTTGGTGGACCAGAGGGAGGCATGTGTCTCCTGTTCCTTCATTCCTCTCTGCAATCTCCTCATTTGAGGTGGAACATTTCTGCTGCCCTCACCAACCATGGTCTTGCCTACATTTTTCAAGCTAGTTTTTTCAGTTGGCATTCAAAAAAAAAATTTGTTTATAAGACTAGAATTTGCTTTATTCAACATAGTCATTTCATCCACTTTAGAGTTGACATTTTGTTCCTTCTTGGTCATCTAGTTGGCCATTTTTTGATCACCTTCATGTCATTCTTGGCACTTATGCCTCAGCAG